GAACCAAGCAACAGCCAAAGTGTCTCGACACAACAGGACAGGTTATGATAGACTTCAGCAGATTTTGAAAAGTCCCTACTGGATTAAATAGGCCATAGTTTATTCGTATAAAATAGTGATAGGATTACTATGGTTTGGACACATTCAGAGATGTTTAGATGGGTTTAGACCAATTTCTACAAGTTTAAACAGGTAACAGTTTGTGCAGTAATGTGCATGCATAGGATATCAATAACCACCACGCCAACAACACTCTACCTCACGATTTTGAGTTAGCATCTTGTTACGGAGGCATGGAGAAATTTAGAAAATATATTTTCAAATCACCCATGATTTCAATTAAACCTCCAGAAATAACTCTCTAACATAAGAAAACAAAAGATGGTACTTGTGGGTTATCAGGACACATCACTTTAAAAATAGATTAGGTTATGGGTCATCTCTCTGACTTGTGGGTGTGTAGATATATGTCATTTATCCACACACATTAACCTAACCTAACCTATTTTTAAAGCGATGTGTCCCGATCACCCTCAAGTACCCAAAGGATAAACACTGAAAACAAATGCCCAAAATGTTCTACAATTCTGTCTTTGATATTAACTTTCATAGCTTATGAGCATTTCAGCTGGTCATGCATCAAACTAGCTTACCGTTAAAATGTTAATGCCAGAAGTAAGTCCGGCCAGTGAGCCCATAATACAGGGGTTATTTTCATACAATAAAGTTTAAAGATTAAGTACATTACCCATAGCAGCTTCTTTTGTGAGGGCAACATGAACTTCTGAACACTTCTTAATCATTGCAGCTAACTCTGAATTACTTGGTCTGTTAGAGCTATTCACAGCTTCACAGAATGTCTAAAAATAAAGTAAAATTATAATTTTAAGCAACTTAACTATTGTCTCAAAACAATTTGTATGTTACTATGATAAAGGCGGGCAATTTTAACCAAGAATCGGTCGTCACTGTTTGCTATCAGAACTATCGAGAAATAAAACTTATTATAAGGAGTCTATTCTGTATTTTGTTCTTTAATCATTCACATTAACAACACTGAAAACCATTCACAGTGCTTTTTACAGGGATAAAACGTTCTAATTACCAAGAGGCAAAACACCACTTATAATAAATTACATAATTATGAAATTGCTAGTTGAGTTATTATCATTTATTTGTGCAATGTGCACACAAATAAATGCATATATGGCTGATCGCATTTGTGCGCTAGTATGTATGCATGTTTCAACTAAACAACAACTGAACAGGTTTTGATGAAATTTAGTATGGACACAACCACGTCGGAAAATGCATTTCATACTCGCTTCATTGATGTCTGAAACTATATTTTAAAACTTACTTTTGTAGCCATTGTGCACGGTCTCAGAGTTTCTGTTCTTCCATGTTTGAAGGCTGCTGTACTACTAGACTCATATGTAGCCACAGTCTTCCCCAGTTGTTTGTGGAATGCCATCTAAAATTTTAAATTTACAGTTTACTGAATACAGCCACAGTGCTCAATTACATAATGAACTTCCTAAAAATTAAAACACTGATCTACAAGGATCTATACTAAAGATAGAGGCAATATGCTTCTCCAAAAAGTTAGTGACCATCTACAAAACCCTGATGATTCACAATTTCACCATCACAAAAATCTCTATCTCACATCAATCAATAAATCCAGACATTTTTCAACCCAATCGCCTCTAATTAAATACCCCCCACACATAGAAGCATGGCTGACTGCCCTACCAAAACATCCAACGTATTCTGGATTTTGAAGTCATGTGTAGTTAGGAGCCATCTATGAATGACCCAAGTAAAATACAAGTACCTATATGGATGAATATGTACAGTGGCTTGAGCTCATCATAAGAATTAACACCCTGTAAGTGTCTACAACTAGAGCTTGTCAATGAAAAATGAGAATATATCAATTATGTTTTCTTATTAACATTGTTATTATAATGTAATAAAGAAAATTATTAGTAAGTTTTTGTTAAAGAGATTAACTATGCAAAATTTATAACTTTCTCATACCTGAAAAGCTAGTTGCATGACCGAATCTGGACTAACTTTAAATCTCTTACAGTCCTTCCTGCCATGATTTAGAACTTCAATGTAACTTATGTTCAGGGAACTGCAGAATGCCTCAAAGTTTTTCTTACCTTGAGATACATAAGCCTTTGCTTTATCATCAAGTCTGAAATCTGTTAAGGAAATAGAAGTACAAAGTGCAATTAGGTATATGAAAAATAATATTAGGACAAGTTAGAATATTCCAATGCATACAGATGAATTATATCAAATGACAAAATCTGTGGGAAGGCCATAGCAGAGGTTTCTTCATCCTGTATGTGTTACCAAAGTTTCCATCTGGTGTCAACAAATGTGGTGTTCCATGAAAAATGTGTGCTGTAGACACCAGACAGCAACTTTGTCACAGTGCATATTTGAAAAGTTCGCCATTTAAATACATTTAAATTAAAATCCTTATTATTCCTAAGTACAGTATGCAATAACATCAATAATAAGAACGTAGCTTCAGAAGTTCATATACTTACTATGGCCTAAATTATACACAAATTAAGGGCAGAGACTTAAGAAAAAATCTTGGAACAAGACCCTTGAAAACATGTTTTACCCTTTTATAATATTGATACCTACTCACCTAGTCTTTTGACCAATGTCTCTGGTCTGCAGTTTGATGGCTTGGTGTCTGGATGAATCTGAGGATTGTCTGAACTGTCTTCCAACATATCTTGCAAATACCGAAGGATAGCTACTCCATCACCCCATGAGTGTTCAAAGTTTAGTGCAGCATATCCATCTCTGGTTATAAGCATCGAAAAGGACTTATCAAACCATCTAAAAAAACAACAACCAAATACTGTATTTCAACATCATTCTGTCTTCCCTCAATCTATCCAATCCTACTTTAAATACAGATGTAGCAGACCCTACCATCATCTGGTCCACTTTCTGAGCTGGTTTCATGGTTACAGCTATTACTTGTGGTCATCATCTGTATGAGATGACCACGGTAAATAATATATGTACAGGTTCTGAACCAAGAAAATGAGAACTGGTAACTTATCTTCAAGATACACTGATTACTGCAGTTATTTAGCAACAATAACAATATTTAATGTTGTGGTCAAGAACGAGTAAAAGCTATTATATTTCTTTGTAAGATCTGAGGTTTTCACAGCGGCGAGTATGAAGATTTCTGTCTTCTGGGTATTTGCGCTGTGTAGTCTGGTTGATGTTAACCAACGTTTCAGAGGTCATACTGCCTCCGTCATCAG